GCACCAAGTCGCATGCACCACGTCGCATGCACCAAGTCACATGCACCACGTCGCATGCACCAAGTCGCATGCACCAAGTCGCACGCACCAAGTCGCATGCACCAAGTCGCATGCACGAAGTCACACGCACCAAGTAAAACGCACCAACGCGCATGCACCATGTCGCATGCACCAAAGTCTCATGCACCAAGTCACATGCACCACGTCGCATGCACCAAGTCACATGCAGCAAGTCGCATGCACCAAGTCGCATGCACCACGTCACACGCACCAAGTCACACGCACCAAGTCGCATGCACCAAGTCGCATGCACCAAGTCACATGCACCAAGTCACATGCACCACGTCGCATGCACCAAGTCGCATCCACCAAGTCGCATGCACCAAGTCGCACGCACCAAGTCGCATGCACCACGTCGCATGCACCAAGTCACATGCACCACGTCGCATGCCCCAAGTCACATGCACCAAGTCGCATGCACGAAGTCGCATGCACCAAGTCGCATGCACCAAGTCGCATGCACCAAGTTGCATGCACCAATTCGCATGCACCAAGTCACATGCACCAAGTCGCATGCCCCAAGTCACATGCACCACGTCACATGCACCAAGTCGCATGCACCAAGTCACATGCACCACGTCGCATGCACCAAGTCACATGCACCAAGTCACATGCACCAAGTCGCATGCACCAAGTCACATGCACCACGTCGCATGCACCAAGTCGCATGCACCAAGTCGCACGCACCAAGTCGCATGCACCAAGTCGCATGCACGAAGTCACATGCACCAAGTAAAACGCACCAACGCGCATGCACCATGTCGCATGCACCAAAGTCTCATGCACCAAGTCACATGCACCACGTCGCATGCACCAAGTCACATGCAGCAAGTCGCATGCACCAAGTCGCATGCACCAAGTCGCATGCACCACGTCACACGCACCAAGTCACACGCACCAAGTCGCATGCACCAAGTCGCATGCACCAAGTCACATGCACCAAGTCACATGCACCACGTCGCATGCACCAAGTCGCATGCACCAAGTCGCATGCACCAAGTCGCACGCACCAAGTCGCATGCACCACGTCGCATGCACCACGTCACACGCACCAAGTCACACGCACCAAGTCGCATGCACCAAGTCGCATGCACCAAGTCAAATGCACCAAGTCATATGCACCACGTCGCATGCACCAAGTCGCATGCACCAAGTCGCATGCACCAAGTCGCACGCACCAAGTCGCATGCACCACGTCGCATGCACCAAGTCACATGCACCACGTCGCATGCCCCAAGTCACACGCACCAAGTCGCATGCACCAAGTCGCATGCACCAAGTCACACGCACCAAGTCGCATGCACCAAGTTGCATGCACCAAGTCGCATGCACCAAGTCGCATGCACCAAGTCACACGCACCAAGTCGCATGCACCAAGTTGCATGCACCACGTCGCATGCACCAAGTCACATGCACCAAGTCACATGCACCAAGTCGCATGCACCAAGTCGCATGCACCAAGTCACATGCACCAAGTCGCATGCACCAAGTCGCATGCACCAAGTTGCATGCACCAAGTCGCATGCACCAAGTCGCACGCACCAAGTCGCATGCACCACGTCGCATGCACCAAGTCACATGCACCACGTCGCATGCACCAAGTCACATGCACCAAGTCACATGCACCACGTCGCATGCACCAAGTCGCATGCACCAAGTCGCATGCACCAAGTCGCATGCACCAAGTCGCACGCACCAAGTCGCATGCACCACGTCGCATGCACCACGTCACACGCACCAAGTCACACGCACCAAGTCGCATGCACCAAGTCGCATGCACCAAGTCACATGCACCAAGTCATATGCACCACGTCGCATGCACCAAGTCGCATGCACCAAGTCGCATGCACCAAGTCGCACGCACCAAGTCGCATGCACCACGTCGCATGCACCAAGTCACATGCACCACGTCGCATGCCCCAAGTCACATGCACCAAGTCGCATGCACCAAGTCGCATGCACCAAGTCACACGCACCAAGTCGCATGCACCAAGTTGCATGCACCAATTCGCATGCACCAAGTCACATGCACCAAGTCGCATGCCCCAAGTCACACGCACCACGTCACATGCACCAAGTCGCATGCACCAAGTCACATGCACCACGTCGCATGCACCAAGTCACATGCACCAAGTCACATGCACCAAGTCGCATGCACCAAGTCGCATGCACCAAGTCACATGCACCAAGTCGCATGCACCAAGTCGCATGCACCAAGTTGCATGCACCAAGTCGCATGCACCAAGTCGCACGCACCAAGTCGCATGCACCACGTCGCATGCACCAAGTCACATGCACCACGTCGCATGCACCAAGTCGCATGCACCAAGTCGCACGCACCAAGTCGCATGCACCAAGTCGCATGCACGAAGTCACACGCACCAAGTAAAACGCACCAACGCGCATGCACCATGTCGCATGCACCAAAGTCTCATGCACCAAGTCACATGCACCACGTCGCATGCACCAAGTCACATGCAGCAAGTCGCATGCACCAAGTCGCATGCACCACGTCACACGCACCAAGTCACACGCACCAAGTCGCATGCACCAAGTCGCATGCACCAAGTCACATGCACCAAGTCACATGCACCACGTCGCATGCACCAAGTCGCATCCACCAAGTCGCATGCACCAAGTCGCACGCACCAAGTCGCATGCACCACGTCGCATGCACCAAGTCACATGCACCACGTCGCATGCCCCAAGTCACATGCACCAAGTCGCATGCACCAAGTCGCATGCACCAAGTCGCATGCACCAAGTCGCATGCACCAAGTTGCATGCACCAATTCGCATGCACCAAGTCACATGCACCACGTCGCATGCACCAAGTCACATGCACCACGTCGCATGCCCCAAGTCACATGCACCAAGTCGCATGCACCAAGTCGCATGCACCAAGTCGCATGCACCAAGTCGCATGCACCAAGTTGCATGCACCAATTCGCATGCACCAAGTCACATGCACCACGTCGCATGCACCAAGTCACATGCACCACGTCGCATGCCCCAAGTCACATGCACCAAGTCGCATGCACCAAGTCGCATGCACCAAGTCACACGCACCAAGTCGCATGCACCAAGTTGCATGCACCAATTCGCATGCACCAAGTCACATGCACCAAGTCGCATGCCCCAAGTCACACGCACCACGTCACATGCACCAAGTCGCATGCACCAAGTCACATGCACCACGTCGCATGCACCAAGTCACATGCACCAAGTCACATGCACCAAGTCGCATGCACCAAGTCGCATGCACCAAGTCACATGCACCAAGTCGCATGCACCAAGTCGCATGCACCAAGTTGCATGCACCAAGTCGCATGCACCAAGTCGCACGCACCAAGTCGCATGCACCACGTCGCATGCACCAAGTCACATGCACCACGTCGCATGCACCAAGTCGCATGCACCAAGTCGCACGCACCAAGTCGCATGCACCAAGTCGCATGCACGAAGTCACACGCACCAAGTAAAACGCACCAACGCGCATGCACCATGTCGCATGCACCAAAGTCTCATGCACCAAGTCACATGCACCACGTCGCATGCACCAAGTCACATGCAGCAAGTCGCATGCACCAAGTCGCATGCACCACGTCACACGCACCAAGTCACACGCACCAAGTCGCATGCACCAAGTCGCATGCACCAAGTCACATGCACCAAGTCACATGCACCACGTCGCATGCACCAAGTCGCATCCACCAAGTCGCATGCACCAAGTCGCACGCACCAAGTCGCATGCACCACGTCGCATGCACCAAGTCACATGCACCACGTCGCATGCCCCAAGTCACATGCACCAAGTCGCATGCACCAAGTCGCATGCACCAAGTCGCATGCACCAAGTCGCATGCACCAAGTTGCATGCACCAATTCGCATGCACCAAGTCACATGCACCAAGTCGCATGCCCCAAGTCACATGCACCACGTCACATGCACCAAGTCGCATGCACCAAGTCACATGCACCACGTCGCATGCACCAAGTCACATGCACCAAGTCACATGCACCAAGTCGCATGCACCAAGTCGCATGCACCAAGTCACATGCACCAAGTCGCATGCACCAAGTCGCATGCACCAAGTCGCATGCACCAAGTCGCATGCACCAAGTCGCACGCACCAAGTCGCATGCACCACGTCGCATGCACCAAGTCACATGCACCACGTCGCATGCCCCAAGTCACATGCACCAAGTCCCATGCACAAAGTCACATGCACCAAGTCACATGCACCAAGTCGCATGCACCAAGTCGCATGCACCAAGTCGCATGCACCAAGTCACATGCACCAAGTCGCATGCACCAAGTCGCATGCACCAAGTCAAATGCACCAAGTCGCATGCACCAAGTCGCACGCACCAAGTCGCATGCACCACGTCCCATGCACCAAGTCACATGCACCACGTCGCATGCACCAAGTCACATGCACCACGTCGCATGCACCAATTTGCATGCACCTAGTCGCATGCATCAAGTCACATGCACCAAGTCACATGCACCAAGTCGCATGCACCAAGTCGCATGCACCAAGTCGCACGCACCAAGTCGCATGCACCAAGTCAGATGCACCAAGTGGCATGCACCAAGTCACATGCACCACATCTCATGAACCAAGTCACATGCACCACGTCGCATGCACCAAGTCACATGCACAACGTCGCATGCACCAAGTCACATGCACCACGTCGCATGCACCAAGTCACATGCACCAAGTCGCATGCACCAAGTCGCATGCATGCACCAAGTCGCATGCACCAACTCACATGCACCAAGTCGCATGCACCAAGTCGCATGCATGCACCAAGTCGCATGCACCAACTCACATGCACCAAGTCACATGCACCACGTCGCATGCACCAAGTCACATGCACCAAGTCGCATGCACCAGGTCGCATGCACCAAGTCGCATGTATGCACCAAGTCGCATGCCCCAGGCCCATGCACCGTGCGTACACCATGCATACTCCATGCATTATGCCTCGATTGCCACTCACCGTGCGTTCATAGGCATGCACATGCCCTCACACCACCACATCCGTCCTGGCGGCATACAGCATCTGCTCAGAGGTATCCGCATGTACAAGTGCATGCCCAGACTGTCCACTTGTGATCTTCTGCCACTCACCGTCCTCTCATAGGCGTGCACATGGCCGCACACCACCAAATCAGTCTTAGCGGCATACAGGATCAGCTCCAGCTCCATCCGCATGTCGTCCCCGCTGCCCTGGTGATCCTTGTTGCTGTGGTACCACGGCTCGTGGAATGCGGCTATCAGCCAGGGGGTGACCGTGCGGTTGACCTTGGCTAGATCGGCCTGCAGGTGGGGTAGAGTGGGGGAAGTGAGCAAGCACGTGGCTTGTGCGTGGCTGTGGGGCGCATGGAATGGAGCAACTGAACATGGGGGGGGGGGGTTGTGGTGCGCTTCACCTTGGCTGGCCTGCATTAGAGGGTTGGCACTGGGACTGGGACAAAGGAGATGTGTGCTTGTCGCCATGCTGATTGCTGCGCTGCGGCACCACTTCTTGAGGAATGCAGCTGAACCATGGGGTGATGGTGTTGTAAAATATATATCTATACAACATGCATGCCTAGATTAGGAGGTGTAGTCATTATAATTATTGGGGGGTTGTTGGTTGGGTTGACCAACCCCACATTTGGGTTGGTCAAGATTGGATTTGGTCCTAGACATTTGGTTGGCACTATTCCAACCAAATGGTTCTTGGTCCTAGGAACCAACCAATCACCAAGCACCACACTTTGTGGTTGCTTGCCTTCCAAGCAATCTCTCTCATTGGTCCACATTGTGGCCAATCGGAGAGCACAACACTTTGTGGTTGCTTGCCCTACAAGCAACCTCTCCCATTGGTCCACTTTATGGCCAATAGGAGAGCTTCCCTTCCAACTCTTCCTTGCTCCTTGTTTTGTACAAAAGAGCCTCTTGGCTCCCTACTCAATTCAATCTTTTCTCTTCCAAGCTAGTTCCTTCATGGTATTCAGAGCCACAATGGCTCACACCACCTCTAGTCGATCCTAACTAGCACGGCTCTATGCCGTCCCTCCTCGTCTTCGAAGCCTAGCCCTTCCTTAGGCTACTTCCCGCGCCCCCCGTGCGCCCTCTCCCGCCGCGCTATTCCGTCGCGCCCGCTCTTCCTCCCGTCGCGCGCCTTTTGCCGCGCCTGCTCACCCTTCCGTCGTGCGCCTCCCGTCGCTCCTTACGACGCGCTTCAGCCCGTCGCATCCTCCTACTGCGCCCGTTGGTGCGCTCCTCCGTCGCGCAGTCCGTCGTCGCGCCCTCTCCGTCGCGCTTTCCGCGCGCCCGTCCGTCACGGCTCCCGCGCACGCCCGTCGACAAATCCTCCCGTCGCGCCCGTACTCTCCGCGCCCGTCACCTTTGTGCCGCCGCGCGCGCACGGCCGTCGGTCGATTTCTCCGCCGCGTGCGCCCGCTCGTCGTCGATTCCGCAGTCGCGTGCTCCTGTTCGTCGCGCCATTTCGGCGTGCAGCCGGTCGCCGCATCCTCCTTGGAGCGCGTCGCGCGCCTTCGGCGACTTAAGAGCTGCGCTCCGCGCATCTATCCTTCTCCTCCCCCCCCTTCTCCTCCTCCTTTCCTTTTCCTCCTCCTTTCCTTTTCCTCCTCCTTTCCTTTTCCTCCTCCTTTTCCTTTTCCTCCTCCCCCCCCTTCCTTCCCCTCCTCCTCCTCAATGGCATCCGATTCCTCGGTGGACCTTACCTCCGTCGACGCTCTTGAGCTGCTGCCCGACAACACCGCGGTCAATTGGCATTCCTATGCCCAAACCGTCACGGTGCTTCTCGCCTCGGTGACGGTGAACGGCTACAACCTGAAAGCCGTTGTCCATCTCGAGGAGCGCGGTCTTCAGCCAGCCCAGCCGGATGCTCCCGCGGGCCCTGCACCTCCTCCTCCTGGCGATGCTCCCGTCAGCCCCGGCGATCCTCCAACCTTCGCCCCTGACGTCAACGACCCTCAGAGCTCCGAGACCGCCATCCGCACCTACCGTGCCGGCCTCGCCGACCACGTCCGCCAGCAGCTGCTCTTCGAGGCTTCTCGCGCCGAGCATGACGCCGCCACTGCCGCCTACAACACGTATCAGGCGGAGCTCACGGAGTACGTCAGGCGCGAGCGCACATACATCACCGACCTCGCTGCCTGGCGTGTCGCTGGCCGGCGCGCGCTCACCATCCTCCTCGCCACCATTCCTCCCACCCTCAAGCGCAAGCTTGCTCCCACCTCCTCCTCCCACTTTTGGCGCCTCCTCACCGATCTCTATGATCGGCAGGACGTCGCCACCCTCTACTCCCTCATCAAGGAGTTCCAGAGCCTCACCATGGATTCTACCACCGGCGCAGCTGCCTTCACGCGTCGCGTCCTCGACCTCGCTCGGCGCCTGGCGGCTCTTGGCGTGCCGTACCCGGACCCAGTGCTCTGCTGCCACCTCCTTGAAGGCTTGACTCCTGCCTTCGACACCCATAAGATCGCCTACATGCAGCTGATCGACAAGTGCATCACCCCGGCTGAAGTCACCCAGTGGATTATCACCACCGAGGCCTACCTCTTGCGCCATTCCTCCTCAACTGCCGCTATTGCTCAGCAGCGCAACACCAGGGGAGGGCGTGGGGGTGGGCGTGGCGCTGGTCGTGGTGGTGGTGCGGGTCGTGGTGGTAATGGCGCAGGACGTGGTGCAGCAGCCGCCTTTCCTCCTTGTCAGTATCTCCCTCGCTATGGCCCCACGCGGGGCCAGCGCTGCGGCCATACCACTCATGCCACTGATTCTTGCTTCAAAGCGCTCAGTGATGAGTGGTTTGCCCGCGGCAACATCGGCACCCCCCCCCGCTGGTCCTCCCTCTCCCCTCGCCCCACTCCTCAAGAGGTTCGTACCTCCCCTCTTTTCCAGCCCGTCTCCTCCCCCTTGGCCCACCAGGCCGTCCCTCAGCAACAGCAGCAGCAGCAGACTCCGCAGCAGATCCTGCCGCTGCTGTTTCAGCAGCAGAAGCAGCAGCAGCAGCAGGGGCAGCAGCACCTCTTCTCCCAGTTGCAGAAGCAGCTCCAGCAGCAGCTTGACCTCCAGTCGCAGCTCCCCCTTGCACCTCCTCCTATGGCTCCCCCCCAGCAGCCCTACCCCGCTTGGACCGCCGGCACCGCCGCTTCCGCAGCTCACCTCTCGGGCGCGTCTCCCGCGCCCTCAGCCTCAGGCAGTGTGACTCCTTTCCCCTCCTCTGGTTTTGTTGGCATGGTTAGTCAGGCTGGAACCCCCGCCCCTTCTATGTAAACGGCATCTATTAATGAGAATGTGATTCAGTACTCCGTCCCACCTCCTCCCCCACATCCTCCCCCCTCCACCACGCTGGACTTTGTCCTTGACAGTGGAGCCACCGAGTCCGTCCTTCGTGATGCCGGTACCCTTCACCCTCTCCCAGCCCCCACCTCCCTCCTTGGTGCAGATTCCAGCTTCTCTATTCCCTTTCGCCACACCTCTACCCTCCCATGTCCCCTCTTCCCCTCAGGTACCGTTACTGGTTTACACATCCCCTCCCTCCATACTAACCTCCTCTCCCAGCGATCCTTGTAGCAGGCCGTTATCACCACCGTCTTCCCAGGTCGCCCTAATCACTGCCTCCTATACCATCCCACAGGTCGCCTCCTCTCCCGTATTCCCTTTTGTCCTCGCTCCCGCCTGTATACCCTTTGATTTCCTCGTCTTCCCTCTGCCCAGGCAGTCTCCCGCTCCCTCCCCCCACCTCACATCCCTCCCCCTCCTCTCCCTCCTTCTAACCCAACCATTCCCCCCCTCCCCCCAGACCCAACCTGCTCCTGTCGATCCCTCTCCCATCCCACCGTCCTCCTCCACCACAGGCTTGGTCACCCCAACTTTGCCACCCTCCGCTCGACCGTCTCCTCAGGTCTCCTTCGAGGTCTTCCCCTCACCCTCCCTCCCCTCCCTCCCTCCCTTGCCCCTCCCTGCTCCGTGTGTGTCCAGAGCAAGCTCAAACAGCTACCGCATCGGAGTTCCCCCTCCGCTGCTGCTCAACTGCTTGATCTTGTTCACATGGACCTCTGGGGCCCCAACCCCTCCCCTTCCCGCCAGGGCCATCGCTACATGCTTGTTCTGGTCGATGATCACAGCCGATATTCGTCCGTCTCCCTTCTTCGCTCGAAGGGTGACGTTCCGGCTGCAATCATCGCCTGGCTCAAGCAGGCGAGCACCCACTTTGGCCGCCCTGTGCGCCGCCTTCACTCTGATGGCGGTGGCGAATTCCTTAATCGTCAGGTAGCCTCCTACTGTGAGCTTCATGGCATTCGCCAGACTCACACCCTCCCCCACTCCCCCAAGCAGAATGGTGTGGCCGAGAGCCGTGTTCGGGAGATCACCAAGATTGCTCGGTGTCTCCTCGTCCATGCCTCTTGCCCCCCTTCTCTGTGGGGCTATGCCCTCCTTCACGCCACCCTCCTTACTAACCTGTACCCCCACCCTATCCTTCCCTCCACCACTCCCACCGAGCTCTGGACGTCGGCCAAGCCTGACGTCTCCTCCCTCCTTGTGTGGGGCTCCAGGGCGTATGTCCTCATTCACCCTGCGGACCGCCCCCGCACCATGGGAAAGCTCGCCTCCCGTACCCTCCCCTGCATCTTCCTTGGTCATAATCCCTCCTCCCCGGACTACCTCTTCCTTCACCCCCCCTCAGGTCGTTTCCTCCGCAGTCGGGATGTAGTCTTTGATGAGTCCACACCCTACTATTCCACTCCTCCCCCCACTGACCCTCTCGCCCCTACTCCCAGGCCCCTCAACTGGTCCGACACTATCCCACCCCCTCTTCTCCCTGCCCCTCCCATCCTCCCCCCGCTCCACCTCCTCCATTCCCCGCCGCCTCGATCCCTAGCGCTCCCCCCTCCTCTGGTGACATATTTGACCCTAACCCTTTTTTTCCCCCCGCCTCCCCGTCCCACTCCTCCCCCTCGGCTCCCTCCCATCCTCCCCCCTCCCCTCCTCCCCCCTCTCCCCCGCGACCCCCTCCCCCCCTGCGTCCCACCCGCTCCATCCTCACCCGGTATCCCCACACCAGGTCGCGTGACGCAGTCCTAGGTGCCCCGCCTCCTGTTATCCTCTCCTCCTCTACCTTGCTTCCTCTCTCCCCTCTCATGGACCTCCTTTTTCAGACAGTCTTACAACAAAACACTAGCCCAACCCTGCCGTCGAGCTCCAATACAGCAGTCCCAACAGCAGCAGCAGCAGCTGCAGCAGCAGTTCCACCCACCGCAGCAGCACCAGCAGCAGCAGCCGTCGCTCCTTCCTCGCCTTCA